CTTGGGGTCATGGATGAAAGCACCGCCCTTACTGTTGGGTGGAAGATCGCCGGTCGTAGCATATTTGAGGCATTCAATGATTGTCTGTATTCCCACTTAGCATAAATGGAACTCATAAGCTGTCCGTTTGGTGAAGCATACAGTCTTCCCTGAGCCATTATAGCCGACAATCAATGTAAGAGGCGTGTGAAATTGGATGGTCTCGCTGCGGGTGTTGTCGAAGGAACGAACACTGAGAAAGAATCACGAATCAGTATACAAATCGAAATCGAGAGCATATGCTTTTGTAGGAATGAACGCACCCTAGGATTGAAAGTTTGTCTATCTTCGCTATAGTTGGAGCAGAGCATCAGTCTTGTGCTTCGTCATTGAACTCCGCATCACTTACACCTGCCAAGCTTATCAGTTTTCGACGTCATGTTTGTTCGAAGCGTGCAGACTCACATTTTGAAATAAAGCACTACAGCGCTGCCCACCAGACTCTAACGGTCTTTAAAGGATGTCAAGCCACTGTCCGGCCCAACACTGTCGGTGCCCCAAGCCTAATCGAAGCTCGTTATCAATATCGTCGCCGCTTCTGCCTGCGCGTCAGGACGCGGAAAGGAAGCGCGAAGTCACGTGATATGCGCAAATGGCTCTATGGGGTTGAAAGGAACATTAGTATGTTGCAACGTTATCTTTATTATTCTCCGCAAAATAGCGTGCTTGGGATTAATGGCATTTGTTTGCTTTGGAGCTATGATGACTAGGATTTTGTATAGCACCTGGCATGTGCTGGTTGAGAAGAGAGTAGGCTACGTTCTGCATTGCCATAGTTGTGAGTTGCTTGCTGAGGTTAGGTGACAACATCACCTAGGAGTGACGACTACTAGATAATGCTTGGGAGCGGAATAGTGGCGTGATTATATGGGTGACAGGATGGGTGGAAATGCAGCTGTGAGTGGCCTCGGTAGTAGTCTGTTCACGTTCTATAGGTAACGTAAGGAGCTGTGAATTTTCTCTCATGGTTAGTTCACTCTTACCTGGCACACTGCATTGTTATTTCACTCCTGCTAGGGCCTCTTGGACATATAGATCTAGGCAAGAGCCATAAGAACAATATCGTCACTTCCGACATCCTTTCCTCAATCTCCTATCGACCTGGCTGACATCCAAAACAAAACAACTAAATGACAACATGACTGCTATCGATCAAATCCTGCTAGATTGAAAGCACTGGACGTACTGGACTTTGATAGAGGCGTCTATCCTTTTAACTGATCAATATTAGTACGTGGATTCGGCAAAGCTGTCGAGATTCGTCGCCTGAATCCGCGCAGTGATGAGGGAGCTGTGAATGGAGTCTGGAACTGCATTTTGAACTGGGTTTTCGATCCGGTCATCAGCTGTATTACACAGCCACAGGCAATGCAACTCAATATGGGGGAATGAAAGGCTCCCCAGTGTCCTATACCATGGGGGTAGCTGGGAACGCGCCGCTTCTTTTTGATAACTCAATGCAAGTCGGTGCAAGGCGAAGGGCAGCACTCTCTTCACCGTGATTGCTGTGAATGAGGCAGCACGCCTGGCTGAACCTGAACTCTTGCCCATGCTTGCCTGGTTTGAACCGCGAGCAATTCTGCTGGTTGGAACCCATCAGCAACTGCGGCCCCTCGCCTTCCCGCCATGATGACAACCCTTCTCAAGCCAGCTTTCGACATCCTTTTTCACACAGCTCGACCACAATGGTCTTATGATGTCATGTTCAACGAAGCGCTCCAGATGGTGAATCAACCAATACGACGCGGCACTTCAACCCTTCAGTATCAACTGCTAGTTGAACTCGATGAAATCGGTCCTCTGCAAGCAGTGTGCCCGCCGCCGTGCAACTTGTAGTTGCACGTGTGTTGTTTTCCTACGTGTTACTGGTATGCCAGCCGTCTAGACGGCGGTGGACATGCTCGGAAATGCTTATGACTTACCAGCGATTCTGCAGTGGTACGTCGTGTTGTTGATGTCGACGAAGAAACTCCTCAGTGGAGAGTTCTATAATTCACAGCTTTGCACGGCCGAATCTCTAGACGCCAGTGTTGGCCAGACCACGACCATAGTTTCCCAACTACAAAACCGTCGGGTCCTCCTTAATACCGGTTCTCTCATTTTCCCTGACATGTCTGAGGCCAAAGGTCAACGTGATTCCCGACAGAGGTCCTGTATCAACACAGACCTTGCTGCTGTGGTGTCTGCTCTCGTTTCGGACCTGCTTGACGACGCACCTCTCATTTCTCAAGTGATTGAGCAGATATATTCAGACGAAATTACGATATCACAGAGAATTTCATTGTCGAAAGTCAAAGCATTACGGTCTCCGACCAGTGCAGCGGATATCGAACGAATCTCGAGCGTTTGACACTCCTCTGAAACTGGCACTTGGTTCTCAAGCTGCATCAGGGCGTGGAGCTTATCAATGAGCCATTTGAGAACCTATTGTCCAGGCGCCTCCTTCCAAACTTGTAGCCGTCTCGGAGTCGTTGATCAGCTGCATCGGGATGTAAGACGACTCGAGAAGTACCATTCGCAGATTCTTCATTTTCAGGGTCGAACGACCTGGTCGCCCAGAAGAAATGGAATTTGAAGTTCTAAGAGAGCGTGATCGGCTTTTACAACGCATGGAAAGGACTTACTGAAATGGACACTGTTTCATCATGATCAAAGAAGAAAAGATGAACAATATATTGTTCTCGACGTCCCGATAGACTGCCACAGAAACCCTGTCCAGGTAATCCTGCCGTCGTCCATTTAGAGTTAACTAATATCAAAGAAAACTAAGTTTTAAGATGTCATGGCTCCTATAAGTTCGCTGTTTTTCATCTTGTCTGTCTTCCTAGTTATCTATCATAGCCGACCAAGCGCATCTTCTTTTATCCCGCCCATCGAGAGTCTTCCCGGTCATCTATGGTTTGCCTCTGATCCCACAAATACCTATAAATTTAGAGGACATCCCGATGTATATCGCGCACAATATAAACCACTCCCTCGTATCTCAAAGAATCCGAGAACTCAGATGGTAAAAGTTTCTATGCCAGAGAGAGCAGGGCCGCAGGGAGTTACGGGTTAAAATGCGGCCGTATACAGTGTCAACAGCGGTCATTTTCGGCGTTGACCTCACAGGTCCTCACATTCCATGTTGAATTCCTTCGTCCTTTTTCTGTGCATATCTTTTCCGTCTTTTGAACGATCAGATTTGGCGGGTCTCTTTACATTATCGGCACCTATATCATCAGGACTCTCGCTCAATGTATTGAATCATTCATAGTGACAATCATTTCGCCCTTCCTGGTTCCGCGCGACCATGGAAATCGCCCCTCCAGAGGCGGACACGGTGAGATCAAGCGAGACATACGCATTGCAGCACGAGGGCGACACTGGACATATAATGGATGTGCAAACAGTTCCAAGGTCAATTTCTAGCAATGAAAGCGGCAACAATTATTCGAATGCCATCCCCCAAGATGCCGAACCGCAGCCGTCTCTCGATGCGACTACAGAACAGGTTTGGGTGCAGCGTGCCCTCGCCGAAATGACAGACATGCTCCTCCTCCTACGTCCCGATGGCACAGTTCTCTACGCTTCGCCGTCCTGCAAATGGATTACCGGATACGAGTCGAAGCAGATCGAACATGACGCCCTATCCCGCTTCATTCACGATGACGACAAGTTCGTCTTCACCCGTCAACTCGAAGAGTGCATCGCCACGGCCCGTCCACTCCGGTGCCATTTCCGCTTCTACAAGCCGAATAATACCTTTTGCGTCATAGAAGCGCACGGTCATCCACATGTCAAAGGCGAGAATAATGCCTGCAACGGCGTTTTCTTAGTCTGCCGGCCGTATCCCACCAGGAGCTCGGCGCTACTCGATTCCTTTCTCGAACACAAGATCGAGAACATCCGGCTAAATCAGCGCATCTCACAACTCAGAGCAGAAGAGGAGGAAGATTTAGATGCAGGTCGACAGACGTACCTCAAGCAAAACTCGGGATCATCTGCCCTGCGCCAGAACTTGCCTCCATTCACATCTTACGATGCGACCGGCTCAGGTGAGGAGAACGAGTCGTCCGATACGGTCAACACCGATGATGGAGAACCGGGGTCGCTTCTTGAAGGCAGTACGCGACAGGCACAAGATATGGCCCACATCGACGGAATCGAGATGATAACAGGGCTGCGCTACCGCGAGGGCGAGCGGTCTCATGGTCTCAGCACGGGCATGCGCCAAGGCTGTCTCGTCCATTGCGATATTGATATAGCCACGATTGAGCAGCAAGCTCGGAGCGCACAGGAGATCGACCGAAGGAAGAGATTGAAGGGAGAGTATCTGTGTACAGACTGCGGGACCTCTGATTCCCCGGAATGGAGAAAGGGACCGGACGGACCAAAGACCTTGTGTAATGCCTGCGGTTGTAAGTTGCCCCAATGCTACCCCTGTTCGACTGAAACTGACTGCTGTCTTCAATAGTACGCTGGGCCAAGAAAGAGAAGAAACGTCAGGAATCAAACTGATTATCACCCCTGGACAATATCGGCGCGTCTCACTGAGATTTTATACTCTCTTTCTGCGGAGGGATACCCTTGCGATTCTTTAAGAGATTAACATATGCAGCGAAACTGAGCGCTGTCTTGTTGGTTTGAGACATAGATCAGCCTTACTCCCCTTCGTGTGATAGGAGGTCATATGAGCCTCGGTTTTATGGATCATATCTCAGTCTACGCTGAATGGCTACGATCAGCTAAACTACAGCATCGATACCGGTCGCAATTCTTCTTATCATCTAAGAAATGAGGGCGACGCCTTCTCAATGGCACATTGATGACTCACAACCAGCTCAATCAACAGAACTTTGATCGAAAGCATGAACATACACAGGGGAATAGAGCAGCAATCAACAACTTTGGTGAAAATTCACACTCAATAACCGGTCGCACACATCCTATACACACTTCAACACGATCAAAATGCGCCGTCACGTTTTGGCGGCCTTCTTGGGAGGCGGAGGGAAATACATCTGAGGCTGAGACTGGGCCGTTGCCCCAGTCTGGGCGTATTGCCCTGATGCGAGAGTCTCCGCCGACGACTCCTGCTGCATCGAGTGGCGGGGATTTGAGCCGCCGAGATATTCCCGAAGAGGTAGGTCGGATGAATTGTCTCCTCCTAATCGGTTGAAGGCAAGGCTACGGGGTGTCATAGCAGGCATGCCCTGTGGATAAGCTGGGCTCATCGGAATCATTGCGGGAGACTTGAGAACAGCTTCTTCATATTCCTTCCAGGTTCTCTTCTCTTCCGCCTTTTCTAATCGTTCCGCGCGCTCCTCCGGAGTCAGAACGCAGGAATGGATACTCAGAACGAACTCGACAAAATAGAGGACGCTGTTTCTTCCGTTAACCACAGTCATGAGGGTCGACTCACAGGGACATGGTACTCACATGATTATTATTGTGAACGCAAACAGGGCCTTCGACTGGCGACAGTAATTGATGTTGTCCTTATTCGCAGCGACGGTGCACTTCTTCGTGATGTACCACGGCGCACCGGGCTGCGGGTGCGCGGGATCCGACATATCAGGGCCGGCTTGGTACCGAGCTGAGGCGATGTATACTGCAACAAGACCCCCGTGGACAATAACCGACAAGGGCGGATAAAACAGTCGAAGGAAGTGTATAGGGACTTTGGTGATCAAGAAAAACGTGCTTAAAACACCAAGTACTAGGTTGTAATCCGTGATGCTGCAGCCCCAGCCAGCGTCAGCGACATTCTTCTCCGGTTTCAGGATTGAACGAACAAGAATGCGGGAGAAGAGAAAGAAGCAGAGCGAAAGGCAAGAGAAAAGCAAACGTACAATTCGCTCCAGACCGTAGGCACCTTATAAGGCCGATAATTGGCAGCCGCATACAACTGCTCATCGGGGGAACTGTTGAAGCCGTTGTCTGCGCCATCCTGCCACAGTTTCGTCCGGTATAGATTGTGAGAAGCGATTCCAGTGAGTGTAAGGATAACAATGGTAAACGGCAGCTCGACAGCCATCAAGTACAAAAGTACTTTGTGATAGCGATGATTCCGAGGGAAATACATGGCGACGGAAACCGAACTCTTCGGATAACTCAGGAAACGGCCAATCTGAAAAAGTCAAATATAAAAGAGCTAGACCTCGTCTCTTTATCGAATGTGTAGTCGAAATAACAGTCCACTGGCGGCCAGACCGGCTGGCTGGGCGTTCAGTTCACTCGCATTGAAGGAACCAAACCACTCAACCAGAGGAAGTAGTGCAAACCAGCAACAATCACAGAAATCGACTTCTAAGACCAGCCGGAAACACGGTTTAGATATGAACAGAGCAGAAGCACCGTGAGACTAACTACGGAGTACCTAGGGGGTCAAATATGGCAACGATGCACTCTTGTCGTCCATGGTGCCCTGTAAGCAGATAGCAGACATGAAGAGGGGCACCAACCGCAGCAATGATAAGCCAGGAAAGTCGAGGATCAAGAGATGCCAAAGGTTCCTGCTGATGCGTCTGGCCAATGCTGGCGGGTTTGAAAGCGCCAGCACAGGCATGAAGCCCGGGATCTATCGCCAATGAGGCTGCAGAACACGCACATTGGCTGCCCGCCATCACACGCTAGTCCGTGTGACGAGGAGATCAATCTGCATGGCTAAGCGGGTGGTCTTAGTAGTAGTCTAGTAGACCTGAGGAGATGTACTAAGAGCTAGTTGACCAAGTCAATTAGTTGCGAAATAGCTTGTGGTCGTCTGTCGGAAAGCGAAGCGCCAACGGGAGGAGGATCACTGGGCGTCTGTGACTGTGTATGCAGCATAGTTTAATTCGCCTTATTATTCATCCTCATCATGCTAATTGGCATACCAACGCAAACAAGCATTCGTACTTCTAGAGTATCTCATCGTGGGCTGTAATGGATCTTAAGACTGTCATCTGAACCATAATGAGGAAGTGCATAATAAGGAATAGTGCTGGAGGATGATTCCAGTATGACACGCCGGTAAACGTCATACCACTCATCCATCATCAGAGGTGTACTCAATCTAGACTGATCGTACAATGTTGTTCTAACAAAGTCTCCGAGGTCAAAGCCTAGGTAGTCTACGCGGATAACTCAAAAAATATAGATACTTGACGTCAAAACCAGTAGGTCGAACATCCGAATGCAGACTCCCCGACTATTGTGGTGCCACCGACTCCATCGTTCACCACACGCACCAAGCATCCTCGTCTCTCAGTCTCAGCGCGTGCCTTTTATTGCGTGGCTTCGACCCCTGTCACCTCACCAGTCTGTTCCGGGTGCGATCCGACGCCAGATGGATTACGCATCAACTAGGAAGGCCTCTGTGCCGCATCTGGTGCGCACGGCGGCTGAGCCACGACAGAACCGCTTGTATACCGTCCGGCTCTCACACATCGACGAGGTCAATCCTACTGTGCGCTTGATACAGCTAACAATCCCTCCTTATGTGCAGAGCCTGGAGGGGCAGGAAGAGCGAGCTGATGGAGAAGTATACCTTTTCGCTACTATGCCACTTTTACTTGTATTATGTATATAACTAACGACCTCAGTCGGATCAACCACAACCACTCACGTTCCTACCGGGCCAGTGGGTAGACGTGCATATACCTGGCCTCGCCGACGCGGGGGGTTACAGCATCACCTCCACCCCGGCAGATGCGCAGGTGCTTCCCTCGCCAGGGCCTCCCGTGGAGTCTCCCATGGACGAGGAAACGGGCCTGCCGCCGATGGACCCGCGAGGCAGAGCACCGTACGTGGAACTAGCCGTCCAGCACGCCCCGTCCAACCCAGCCAGCGCATGGCTTTGGAGACCCAAGGACGAGATCCAGGGACAGGAACTGAGCATCCGCATCGGAGGCAGTTTCGTCTGGCCCCCATCGGGAATTAACCTCGGTGAAACCAAGAAGGTGCTCTTCATTGCAGGCGGAGTGGGAATCAAGTATGCATTCCTCGAGTCACCCACTTGGAAGTGGGAGCTGACCATCTGCCAGCCCTCTGATCTCCATGCTCTCGCATCTGAACAACAACGACGACGAAACATCTCTACACCACCAGCACTCCGACATCCACTTCTTCTACTCCACCAAAATCCCCTGGTCAGCTGTCCCGTCCCTCCCTGAGAAAAGTCCCCAGGCATACCTGGACCGGATCCTCTTCCTCTCGCGACTTCGAGAGATCATTCGCTGCCAGTCAGAGTCGGGCCGTCTGCGGATCTCTTTACGGCTCTTCCTCACTAACCTCCATGATGACTTTGCGCCACTTCTGTCCGAACCGCAGCAGGATTTGACTATTTATGCACGAAGACAGCAGCCCGATGATCTGCGGCAGGTGCTCCAGGGACCTGACGGCGTCATTAGGCCTGAGGAGACGGTCTGCTATATATGTGCGCCTCCCAAGATGACAGACGAAGTTGCGAGTACTCTTCAAGGTCTGCTGGGAGATGGTAAGGAACGGGTATTGTTCGAAAAATGGTGGTGATCAAGTTTTTTTCATTCGTAAGATGTGGAGAGTGTATTGAGGCAAGGCATGCTTGCGCTGCAACAATCGCAAATGTTCTAGATAAATGCTGCTGCAGACTGAGATCCCAGGTCCTCTGCTCAATGATGAGACAATTCAGACCCATGCTAGCCTGCCTTCTCAACTCAATATATAAGGTACAAAGACTGCAGGAAAAAGCGCCCGAGATAGCAAGATGTAAACCATAGACAGCGTATCTATGCCGTGACATCAAGGTATGAGAGTGTCGATAGCATCGCAGCAAAGTTGGTTCGAAGCCATATTAAAGATCACTCCCTGACAGAAGCGGCGAGTCAAGAAAGGGCGATTGACACATGTGCAAGGACTCAAAAACGTTCAATGATGTTCGTCAGGTCCTTTCACTGCACCTCCGTCGATGATCATCATCTCGTCGATCTTGGCCTCTACTTCGCCGTATTCAAGTCGCTTGTACGTCACAACACGCCCGGGGTTCATGTCAAAATCATAGAAACGAACGCGACGGACATAGCCACCATAACCTCCGTAGCCTCCAAAACCAGCACCGCCTCCGTAGCACATCCAGAGAGACGGCTTCTCATCTCGGTCTTTGTTAAGCATGCAGTAATCATTCACATGATCACTAGTAATAGGTTAGCAAACAGCACACAGGTCGTTGCCGAGTATTCAAAAAGGTACTTACTGCCCGCAACTCACGAACAAAATCCCCTCTTCTTCTAAAGCATCTTTGAAACCAGAGTTGAATCCTGGTGCGGTGGGAGCCTCCGACCAATTTCCTCTATAGTAATTTGAGGAGTCGCGGTATTCTGGAAGCGGAATATGAATAAAAGCCATGTTCATGTGCATGTGACTGTATTCATGGTGTTTTGTTTTGAGGCTTTGCGCAGTGTTTTTGAACCACCGAATCTGACTCGGTTTGATCCAATCGTAACCTCGGAACTGACGTTCGTCTGGAGAATAGGAATGAGAGTCGAGCAGGTACAGAGTCAAAGCCGAGTGCGCGGTCGTTCCACGACCGAGTACTTCGACAATATAATTTCCAACCCCGTCCACATCTTCAGGGCCGGCGGTTGACAAGGAGTAAGGGAGATCTTCAAGTATGGTCATAAGCTGTTCTCGACTAAGATTGCCTTCATCGTCGTGATTGCCGAATATGGCTGCGTAGGGTATCTTGCGGTCGACAAGTAACTTGACAGACTTGAAGAGCGCACTCTGAGCATCTCTCGAAGTTTCACCGTTGACTTGGTCACCGCTCAGGACGACAAAATCGGGCTTTTCCTCGTCGAGAAGTCTTCCCACAAACTCCAGGGTCCGAGGATCCGCTTCACACTTGTGACCGGGTACGGGCTCTACCGGAACTGGGTCTCGACACACTCCGAGTCCAGTGCTCAGATGAAGGTCTGCTAGTTGCATGATTTTGAATTTCCCATTCTCATTAATGCGTGGAGTGGGCTTCTTGGTCTTTGGCGGGTCTCCCCTTCGAATACTGATGCGGGCCTCCAACTCCTCCGTCTTGCTATCCAGCAGCAGCGGAGTATCTTTCACCTCCCAGCCCACACGCGGATCAACCGCGTCCGCACCGAACAAGACATCGATCGAGGTGATCGCTTTCTGCGAGTCACTCGCATGACGTTTGGCCGTCCGCTTCAGCCAGATGCCACCTGGCCTCTGCTCCCATTCAATTTTCTCTCCATGTGGGTCATTCGAGGACTGCGGTGTCAGCCGGCTTATCTTCAAGTCGATCACCACCTTGTCAGATGCCAGCAGTTCCTCTTCCTTCTTCCGTTGAAATTGTACGTAAGCACTGGATGTCCACCCCAAGCGCAGATAGAGATCCTTTTCAATTCTGGACCATGCCTTCGGGTCGACTTTGCAACTGGAAAAGATGCTGAGAGAAGAGCATGTGACAACAGTCACATCGGTAACGACGTAACCAGCATAATGCGTGGGAAGGTGGCCATGGATGGACGCCGGTAGCACACGGAATTTATTGTCTAGAATCACCACAAGGAGTAATGCAATTGCGGCGATGATAGCGAGCTGCACGCCCGTCCGAACCTATTATCATCGAGAAAAATTAGCAGCAGGAACATGAAATAATCGATTCTCACCGAGTAGATAATCCATACAAGTCGGCGAGTCATGTTAAGGAAAGGAGCCCCTGGAGATCTTCGAGCGGATAGTAAGTAGCTGGACGCTCAAGCATGATGGGGCACACGAGGCTATAAGATGAAAGCAGGCCGCACCATGGACAAGATCTTATTGTCGTCAGTCCATCTCAAGGGGGGCCAAATCTGGGGATGGAAGAGTCGATTGTCCGAGCCCCCGTATTTGTAGCACCAAGAAACTCGAGACCGGAAGGCGGTCACATGTGAACTAAAGTTTAGTATTACCTCTCGATTATCGGCTTCGAAGTCCCTGATCCGCGGGCCCTCCCTGATCTAGGCCTATTTGGAAATTCCTCGAGAAAGCCTTCCTGGTTGGCGAGTCATAGTTGCCTCAGTACTTGTCCGATGAAATCTTAGTTAGTGACCCTCGTCTAATCAATTTCTATATAGCCGTTCTCTCTCTCTCCATATGTATAGATAAGTATAGCTATTATCGGAGGGTGTTTCCCCCCCGTCTATTGAACGTCCAAAACCAATCGAAGAAATCCAACGTCTCCCGAATCTATACAGCGGCGGTGGAATCATCTTAATTGCCTTGCTCATGCACCTTTTTCAATCCTTCTTCAGCCACTTTCTTCAATGATACCTTACCGCTTAGAATGTCTTTTGTAGTGTCCAGGATCGTCTCCCAACTTTCGAACGTGGTGAATGGCATTCCTTCACGCTCGCAGTAGGTCACCAGATCTGAATTGTGATTAGTAGCGTACTCAAAGATCGACCAGAGAGTTCTGGCTTACCATGCCCCTTTTTGGCAAAAAGAAGGTCAGTCTCTGAGGCAGCAGACAGATCGGAGACACCATCTCCAGCATAGAGCAAAGTAGGACGCTTGTCTTCCGGCAATGCGGCGTACGGCTTGATCTCCAAGGATTTGTCATGTCCGAAATGACTATCGAAGGCGCAGTTTAGGCTCCGAAAGCAACATTTACTACAGGAGTCTTCGATATTCTCACCTGTCGTCGTGGTACTTGATTTTCCAACCGCCTGCGGTGTTGATGTCCTTGCCGTCGCGGCTCTCCACGTCGTTGGAAACAATGTGCAAATGGCTTCGAGGCTTGTGTCCCAGCAATGACTCGAACAAGGCACTAATAATGGGCTTCATCCCCGACGACAAGACCACAATTGGAACATTGTTTTCCTCGGCCCAGTAGTAGAACTCGATAAAGTGGGGGTCAAGTTTCATGTTCTCCTGGAGGATCTCGATGCACTTGTCGAAAGGCGTCTTGACGCTGTCCAACATATCGCGGAAGGCATCACTGTAAACAATCGAAGAAGTCAGCGGAGGCCTTCGCTGGGAACAACTTCATGCGCTTGCTGCATTGCACATACCGGAAGCTAGCTCTGCCGTGGAGCACATCGTAGTTCCCTTGGCGACGTTTTTCTCGTCCGTATCCAAGATTGTCGGTCTGAATATATAAGCCTGAGACGCCAAATCAGGTTTCACGCCATAAGTTTACCAGAAAATCATTGCCTGAGGTTGACAGCGGATAATTAGCTTCTGATAGCATATTTTAAAGCCAGGTGTGCTTACTATCTGCCAGTGTAATGGTCCCATCAAAATCAGTGAAGAAGATGATTTTGGGATTGGTCTTCATATAAGGGAGTTCGGTGGAACCCATGGTGACAAGAGGTAACCCTTCAGTACGACGAAAGACTGAATACAGACAGAATTATGGTAAGATGCTAGCTCAGTGATGCAGACGATGTCAATGGAGACCCACTGGATAGGGGAACCTAAATGGCAGAAATAAGTTAGAGTGCAGGACTGAAAGTTCCTAGGTCGAGTCAGGATAATAGATGGCTCAATGGATTGAGAACATGAATCAAAAAACTAAAAGAAAGATATCCCGCGGGGGGAATCAACAGTTATCTACTGCCCCGCGCATCGGTCAGAATGCAACTAAACTCGATTTGACTTGACATCTTTACTTTACTTGCTTCACCATCCGCACTTGAGTACTGGTGAAAGAATTACGCATAATAATTGGGTGGTTTTCGATGCTCTTCTGGGCCTATTAATGCGGAGGCGCTGGATTGGGACAATGGAAATCCCCTAGTCCCCACGCGCCCCTGTTTTGATAAGTGGACAGAGATAGATAAGTGCCGATAGCGACAAGTCCGATAACCGTCAAAAAGTTTCGATTCTGGCCATTGCCAAAACCCCCGTCGCAATTGAACAACGGATTTTCTCGACATTTTCCTGGTTCCTTTTAATCCCCTCTTCTATCGGCAAGCAGTGTCGGATGGCTCGTCTTTTTCAATCTCTGCGCCGAGCTTTGGGGCTGATTCCCTCAAAGCCCGTCCCAAAATTTTCGGGGTCAATTGACACGAATTTCTCTTATTTTAGAGGTACAGTCCACTCAGATAGTCAATGCCTCTTGTGCCTGTGTATGCTGATCAATGTTCGTGTTAGAGGGGGACAGAGTCGTTGTTCATGGCAAAACTCCATCATTAACGAAGCCCCTTCGGAGAGGGCAGAAGACCGATGTGCGACGAGGAGTACTGGAACACGATAGCATCATCGGCCAGCGAGTACGAGATCTTGTCAAGGCGCACAAGGGTAGGTCCATCTGAGGCCCTTACCCATAAGAAATATATAGCTAATTCACCGTCGCAATGCAGGCCCTGACTACCGACTCAGCCTTCCGACCCTCGACGAATATGTTTCTATGACACCCCGACTCGTCACACCAGTATGAGATCAATCGCCATTGCTCTCTAGTCCAAACTCCTACTCACGAACGTCCCAGTAGATCTATTCCGCAGATGCCAACTTGATTGTGTCCCTCCTCGATATCCACGTCACTCCCCCAGCAGAAGGATCCCAGGAACAGCCACCGTTGGAAATCCTCGAGTCTGGCACAGGTCATGGCTCCCTAACTCTGCACCTCGCGCGCGCGATCCAAGCAGCCAACTCAGTTCCACCTCCTCTCCCACAAAAGTCTCAGATCCAATACCTGCAGGGACGACCGATCCGCCCCGGAACCGACGTGGAAAAGGCAGACCCCAAATCAACCAGCAACACCGCCCAAGAATCACCAGACGAATCCGCCGAGCAGCAAACTCAACAACAACAATGGGACACCTGGCGCGCCCACCGACGCGCCATCATCCACACCGTAGACGTCTCCCCCAAATTCTCCGCCCACGCCGAGAAGATCGTCCGCGGGTTCCGCCGCGGAATCTACGCCGGTAATGTCGACTTCTACGTCGGCCACGTAGAGAACTGGATCGCAGTGCAGAAGAAGGCACGCGCATCGAGTTCCCTTCTCTCGAGCAGCCCCACAGTCGAGCCGTTCCTCTCCTACGCTATCCTCGACATGCCGTCCGCACACCTGCGTATCCCCCACGTCAGCCCAATCCTGAAAAGAGACGGCATTCTGGTCGTATTCATGCCGAGCGTGACCCAGGTCGGCGACTGCGTGGACCTCATCCGACGGCAAAAGCTCCCCTTCATCCTTGAGAAGGTCGTGGAGCTCGGCTCTGGCATCAGCAGTGGTCGGCTCTGGGATGTGCGGTTCGCCGTGAAGAAGTCGCGTGCGGACCCGTCCTCGTGGACTGAGGCCGCGGACTCGGCGGAGGCCGAGGAAGACTCTTCTGACGCTGGCGTGGAAAGCGTGCCTGCTGCTCTCGAAGAAGCTGCAAGGCAAGAGGAGAGCGTGCTGGTCTGCCGACCTAAAGTCGGGGCCAGGATTGTGGGTGGAGGTTTTGTCGGCGTGTGGAGAAGGATAGAAGATTCGTCGAAGGAGTAGCCTGTTTTCCCTGTTTCTAGGAACATGTCAGGATACCGGATATCCATTTGTGACAGATATTGCATTGCATCCCCATCATCCTCCTGCACTGTACAATACACAGCTAGAAATGTATACTATCTTCATTCCTTACTTGTTTGTAGGTCGTAGGCGGTACAACATCGTAAACTCATTCAGGTAATCTCGCTTATCTACAATCACACCAGCGATTGATAATTCAAACAGCAGCAAGCCGGTCCTCTAGCTTCTAGAGGCCACGGCATTTATTCATGAAGTAGCGAAATCAAAGACGTACACGGTAACGATGATCCCCATTCGCCCAGATTGAGAGGATGAAAAGACAGGGCGATGTTATCCCGCTACCTCAAGCCGCATTCGCTGCCTATGGCGTCGATCGTGACTAGGCGCGGCTGAGTTGACAGTGAGGTGACAGCACTCAAGAAGACACCAAAGGCGCAGAAGATCCAGGAGTAGAAAAGGATACCGCGCAATTGACGACTAATTTCCAAGAACATGACAAGCGAGTTCAATTGAGCAAGTGCCCTCGGTTGACAGCAAAAGCAAGGAATGTAACCACAGGAAATGTAGAAAACGACAGAGCAAAGCAAATAACAACACCAGAGATACACGAGAGGACCCCAAAGTTTCCGAAAGAACAAGACAAACCGGCTACACAAACACCAGTCTCATGACGTTCAACATGCTCCATTCCCTCAATTCCGTTGCGGCCCAAAGTCCGCCTCCACAACCTTACCCTTTTTCCCTTTAACTGTAAACTCCGCCAGCAATGCGATATGATCACTTGGAAAATGATAATTAGGGAATCCGGGCACCCTCTGTAGATAGTCCTTGTCCACCTCTCCGAGTAACGCCGAAACATGAAGCGAGTTTGAAGAATACCAGATATAATCAAGGATATCTTTGAAGTCTGGCGTGTAGTTCGTGAAGGGAAGTTCGCCAATAGCTCCATATGCGGACTTCAACTTGAAAGGATGCGTCATACCGACTTTGCTGAGATTGCCGTAAAGACGCTTCTCTAAATCCGGGTGCTCCTCGTCGAGCCGACCGTGCGCAATTAGATTGTATGCTGCAGAACCCGGAGCCGAGTTCAAATCTCCACACATCAGGAGAGGGATCTGATCGCCACTGGCATATTGCATGGACGGCGCCGGTTCCTCCAGAGGTGGCGTTTCTGATTGTCCCTCCTCTTTGGAGAATCGGAAAGCCGCCTTGTCGGTGCACGGGGGCCATTTGGCATACGTCTCCGACAATTTGGTGAGTTCTTCCATCAGAATAGCCGTCTGAATCAGTTTCACATCCTTGAACGCTGGATCCCAGTAGAGATGGGCATTCACGACAATGAACCGCGAACCGGTCTGCCTGTTTTCAAGGAATACGACAACTGCAATATGATCCTTCTGCCAGAGTCGGTTATAGATGTCGTCTTGACCTTTTGCATCTGGGCGCCGCACGGCTGTCTGGCCAAAATTGATCAGCTGTTTGTCGAGAAGGATGAACTTGCTGCCCTTGAAGAAGGTGGCACATCCATCCACGCATTTGGCGTCCTCCTCCTGCATTCCCATAGCCCTTCCTCGTGGCCAGTAAACACCCTTGTAATCATTGTAAGCCAGCTGTTCCCGGAAATATTCATTATAGCTTCCTTGGTCGATTTCCTGAAGACAAATGATATCCGAATCGTGAGACCTGAGCTCGTTCAAGATGAGCTCCCTTCTAAACTCCCAGGAAAGAACGCGAGCTGGGGCGTAGCCGTAGTGTGACTGAGTCGCGGAGGAATCACAGAGTGTGTTGTATGACAAGACAGTAACTTTGTCAGTACGATGGTTCGAGGAGCTGGCGGTTTCGTCGAGGACAATCCAGTCCCGGTCCGGGGGTGGGAGGTGAACTGCCATCAGTGTCAGTAGACTTGTGCAAGAAAGAACGCTTAAGAATATCTGCAATTCTACTAACCTGGCATCTCTTCCTTGAGATATTTGATCAAAGCCTTGGTACCGTCTTTCATGATGTGAGACTTCAGGACATCATTCAGTGGGTTGCCCTCAACGCCGAGTGTTTCCAGCCTGTAAAGGTAGCCCATCTCGTAAGGAAGTGTGCGGATATTGTTGTCGAACAGGTAGAGCTTCTTCAGATTCGTGAGCATGCCGATCTCCTCTGGGAGCTCGGTGAGGTCGTTGCCTGACAGGTCCAAGTGATTTAATTTCCGAAGTTGCCCTATGGTAGGTGGGAGGGCTTTCAGCTTGTTATGATTCAGATACAATTTCTCCAGGAAAACATAGTTGAACAGAGACGTGGACAGCGCGCGCAGTCCCTGTCCGCCGAAATCCAAGGCGTGCCAACCTTGCCGTGAAGATGCCTTGGCCTTGACCACCCCGTTCTGCCCGTCAGAGACTTGATCTTGTGTCTCCGGTTGGCTAGGGGCAATCTGGATGCCCTTGGCTTGTTGCGCGACAGACCGGGCATGATAGTGGGGAGAGCTGGCCTGCCGTGATTCCGCGGCCAACTGAAGTTGTTGCTGCCAGTGCTCATTCATCGATTCGTCAATATCTTCGTCAACATTAGTGTGAGCCCCATTTTGGATGTGGCTCGGGGTAAAGTGGGGAGTAGCGGAAGTTAATGCCCCGCTCGAGAAGTTGTGTTGGTGGTTGATGTTGTGTGAAGCTTGATTGTGGTGCGTGTGGTGATGAGGTTGCTGCGTATGGTGCGGGTGATGACTCTGCGACTGAAACTTTGGGATCTGCATGCCAAACCGCTGATGGGCTTGGCCGCCATTCATCATGACATGCTGCCCTTGATGAGTTTGGCTGTACATGTTGAATGGATTGAGAGCCGCGGTCTGACTGAGAGGAGGAGATCGGGAAGGTGAGGGAGTATCGTGGTTGAACTTCAGTCTTCCAGTGGGCGAATTCGTCCCGTTTCGTGCGATATGTCGTTGGTGAGAGTGCTGTTGTGGTTGCGTTTGAAAGAAGAACTGCCCGGCCCCAGGCTGCTGGAACCTGTAGGTACCATCTGCCATTTAACGTGGCAGATGAAACCGTGAGCGGGTTGCTTGAAGCGAGGTTGTGAAGATGCTCCGAGTCGACGACGCAGGGCTGAGAGTAGCAGAGGGAGAGAAAGGAGGAGTCGAGGATCGAATAATGCGGTCTCTCCTTCTCTTCAACATGGGGTCCTGAAGCGGAACCGCCCCCTAGATAGTCCTTCCGAAGTATTGACTGCAGCGGAATTCACCACGAACAGCCTCCTTCCTGTCTCTAGTATTCGTTTATCCGCCGACCGAGCAAGCGATTGTCAACGATAGGGGCGGGAGAGCGGGCGGGCGAGCAAGTCACAAGCGCTGAGGGAGAAGGTCCCGGGCAATGAGCCTGTACCAGATGGCTATCAAGGCTCCAAAGTGTGAATTGGCCAAGGAGATCAAAAAATGCGAATAAGTATCCTTATCGATTGATGAAGTAGAAGCATCAAGGGTCTGGTTGAGATGGCGGTTCCGTCGCCTTGATGCTGCGAAGTGGTTTGCATCGAAGGCGGGATCGTATGGTCACGTGATACTATGCCCGAGAACATGATTCGCCAACAATGACAGGGCCAAGACCAGCCCAACACGCCAAATCTCCAGCTTTCCCCTCGACACTTGGCTTCAGATCTTTGAAATAGATCGCATCAGCGCTATATTAATTTGTTCATGGGTCTTTTCAGGTTGTCAAAGCAGTTGAGTCGCACGTATGGCTTACTGAGACGAAAGCGATGATCGAGGCTGTTTGCGCATCGAAGACTACGGACTTGTGCTACACTACTCCATACGTCCTCGATTTTGATCCAGTATGCTCGCCAACAATTTCTGGAACGCGGAAATGTCACTGCCATCCTAGAATACATACTTATCAATACAAGGAATAGCCTGATAGTTCAACCTCACCCTACAAGCATGTATGCTGTGCGATGTTGTAGGCATCCCACCATAGCCTCTCCGGGTTCTCAGTACACCGTCGTGAGCTGCTTAAAGCGCTTTATACTTGATCGACCTTTCCTGGTAGTATTTTTGCTTAGAACGGGGGCCTCAGTGCACCAACATCAACCATCGAGGACAGAGGCCGATCAACATTGCTCAGACGCCGCCCCCAGTACGGCTTCACCGTAGTACTTTCTGACCACGGATGTACTTGTCTCGTCTTCAGCGTCGCGTGAACAAGAGAACAACTGTACTATGTGCTAGCTGCAGAGGTCATAAGTTTACTATTATCCGAGCTTGCTTTGCAGGAATGGAAATATGATCGGACTTTTGCCAGTCGTGAATCCTTCACTGCGCATGGATGGGTAGTTGATACATGTACGAGACAACTGTACTCGAGGGCTGCAGCTGATATCAAGTCCGGAAATGGTACGCCATAATTTGACTGGATGACTAAATATGATGGATAAGACATCGTGCAGATGGCGTAGTCAGCTGTTGGTTCAATGACAGGAAGAGACAGACAATTATTGCACATATTTGACAACATGTCAATTGTTAGTATTGTAATCAAGGGATAGCAGAAACTACCACGATTAAGGAGACGAGGACAATCCGAGTCGTCACGCGTCAGTCGGCCATGTTGATCGCATACAGTATGCCAAGATAAGTCAAGAATCGGAGAAGCATTCTTATCCAGAATGTCTGGCTTCAGATAGGGAATCGTAACCCCGGTATATGGTAATCGTCCGTGGATCCTTTGAACAGCTTTCTATCTCATCCTTCTGTTCTAAGCCCTTCAAGCTATGGAGCAGATACCCGTAGATACTACCAATCTGTCTGAGCGCCTAGGTACTGGTGCTGACGACTAGTGTACTCAGAGCACAATGTGACCTGTGCAGGCACGTGTACATATTGCAACGGACCGCCACCCGTGACTTCCATCTGCAGGAGCCCGTCTGGAGCCTGGTCGCCGTTTTCAGCACTGGTGGATAGATACATCGGATAGAGGTGTCAGATTTTGCACCCCATCTGTCACCGGATGATACTTCCTTATGCATATCAAGATAGGCTACAAGTACCCAGTTGATCACATGTAAATTATAACACGTTGGACTATTGTGCTTCTTTCGTATTTGTCTCTCCTGGACTTTCCTCAGGCACAACGCGGTGACAATCGAGATTCCAATGAGAGAACTAATATCCTGAACTAGAGCCACTAGTGTGACTAGACTCATGTAGGCTGTACCGTACCTACGTTAGCCTGCCCGGGAACACAGACCAAAGCGTGTTCTGGTTGGGCTGGGTGTCCGTTACAGTTGGCAATCTGCATTACCAATTTCCGTCTTGGGTGGGAAGTTGGTTCTATGCTTTGAATATTATTGTCATTATTACAAGGGGAAGAACTTGTTTCCTTGAAAATCTCTACCTCTTAGTTCAACGGCCATTCATCATCGAGTTCCCGTTCGGACGATCTCTCCTTATGGGATAGACTGAATAGGTAGTATTACTCGTTTGAGAGCGTAGTCCACCAGACCGGGTAGTACAATGTAGTATCAATCATGAGATGATCGACTATTGCGGTTCCATTGTTTCATTTTGTGTAACATGGTCGGTGCTCCTGCATCTGCATTCAACACAGTATCTGTGTAGTAGTTTGTACTAGTGTGTAGGATGTACTTTTACTAGCAGTCCCTGCAGAGTATCAGTGCAGACTATCTATTTATCTACAGCCTCCATTGTCTGGAGTCTGGATGTGTAACAGAAAAAGAAACTCAAAAACGAAGGGAATGAAAGACAGAGAGAGAGCCCCTGATAAGTTGATGGGCGTGGGCCAGCGGGGATATCTGATTCTAGCTAACGGAGTCGAGTACGTAGGGTCAGGCTTGGAATTCCGCCACACACGGAGTATCGCTTTTTTCTCCGTTCAAGACAAGGACCGGGTAAAATGAGAATTATGACGGTGGCATCCTAGTTTAACATCAACAATAATGGTCAGATTGGTTGTTTTGACTGTGTCTTGGACTGTCTTGAAATCTTGGTCGTGTCTGGAACCGTTCAGTGTAGTATTCCCGTTGAGTGGTAACTACGGAGGAGTAATTTAAACGACGTTATAGTTTCTCCTTTTAGTCTTTAGACTCCCGACGACCGACGAGAGTCCCAGTCTCCCAGACCTAGGTAAGAAAATCTTAGACACTTTTGTCGGAGTCATCCAGTGGAGTTCGACTGCCGATTTTAGGATCGTGGACCGGACGGAGACTTGAGGCGCAATTTTGCGATGGTCTTTGCCCCCCTCCTTCTCATTCATGTCTTCTAGTCCCATGGATCAATCTCTCTTTCTCCGCAGTCCAGACCTGCTTCAATTAACTTACCTGAGCTCTCGTTTCTTGCGTTGCCCCTCCTGTCTCGTCTTCTGCTGCGACGCTTGATCCTTTGTCTGTTCCTACTGTTCTCACACCACCTCCTGTTACAATGGTATAATCACTCCGCTCAATTCTCCCTCCTACAGTGATTTCGAAGGGGGCCGGAATGCATATAGCTCATCGCAGAATTTCGTCATTTCTCGACTGCTGAAGAAAAAAGATAGAGCTTCCAATTCGGAAATGGACATGATGCAAACTACCTTCACCCCCGTGGCCTCCGGGTCCGACCTTCATTCCACCCTGAGCTCGACTGCTCCTACGTGGGCAGGCACTTCGACATCCTCCCTCTCGTCCATGAACGACTACACCTCCTACCCCCTCGTCCGCCAAGGGGACCGCACCTATCTCAGAGACCCCGAAAATCTATACCCCCTGCCAAGCGACCTGCCAGAAATTCACCGCCAGACATTGCGCTCCCTTATGCTCATTCGTGTCTTCGGAGGCCCTTTTTGTACGCCATCGCTAAACGAGCAGCCCCCCAAAAGGGTTCTCGAGATCGCATGCGGGTCGGGGTTATGGTCCAGTATGTGTCATGACTATTTCAGCCGTCGCGGCCATCGCAACATCGCCTTTCACGGCATCGACCTCGTCTCAGTGGCCCCCGATTTGCGCAAGAAAGGTGTGAACTGGCATTTCAAGCGGCATGACCTACGCAAGCCTCGCCTGCCGTACCCGGACGATTACTTTGACTTTGTGTTCATCAAAGACGCGGGAATGTGTCCGTCTAGTCCAGCACAGCAGGCGTCTGGCCTCAGCGAACCATTGCGTGTTCTCAAGTCTGGAGGAATTCTGGAAGTATGGGATTCTGACTGGGTATTTCGATCACTGCTTCCGAATCCCGCCCCAGCTCGCAAACTAGCTTCAAGAGAGCAGGAAGTCGCGGACAGCACCGCGACGTATACCTTTTCACCAGCCACGCCCTTCACCGGAGCTCAGAACAAGTTTCTCCAGGATTATAATTCGTGGGTCGAGAAAGCCTTTGATCGCCGAAAACTCACTGCTATACCATGCGCCACAATTGGGTTGTCTTTCAATGCCGAAGTTGACATCCTTGAAAAGGTGGACAGTCGTCGTATCGCCATTCCATTGGGTGAATTGCGATGGGAACGTGAAGGAGGCCGCCCACGCAAGCAATTGACCGCGGAACAGATGTCAATCCGACGAACTGCACTTCTGACTGTTATTCAGATGATCGAAGGCATGGAGCCAATGCTCATGGAGGCCAGCGGCAAAAGCAGGGATGAGTGGGACAGGTGGTGGACCGCGATGATAAACGACTTGTTTCAGAAAGGAGGTCTCGCGAGTGGAGAGTGTCTGGAAGTGAGTGCTTGGTGGGGTCGAAAAAGGTAGACCCTGCTTGACGAAACTTCCGGTGGAGTCATAAAGATAAGGAGGCTTTGGTGTTTTTGGATCCCAGAAAAGTCCATCAACTATTGCTCACGACCCTAATTGGTGATACCCCCAAGTCTATTCTGTGTTTTCATTTGTATATTTTCAAAACCTTCATCCAGTTTCAGGCAGCGCCACTGTATTTATTTATTCTCATACCTCTGTTTCAGCGTGCGGTACCGCTTCAGATAATACCTGGTTTGCTCATCAGCATCATGTCTGAAGGTTCGGGTGTGTGGATGCATGATATGAACGATCTCCTCATGATAAACGGTGGTCCAGTAGTGGCTATCCTAGAATATACGTAATAACTTGCTCTTTTGAATCCATCCTGCTCGAAGTTTGTGTAGAGTGGTGTGTGGAAGGGTAGGCTCTCGGAGTTGGTGGGTGGTGGGGGTAAAGGTAGAGTCCGCGTTCTTACATAGCTTCAATCTCTGATGCATAGATAATCAGCCGCTGAAACTTTAACGCCAGGGACATCCAGATTTCTGGATACGAAGACTTCAATCATACCCTTTTTTACAAAATGTGCCCTCGCTATCCCCGTCCGGATCTTTTCTTCGTCGGTCAGATGCGCTTGGCCGGAAAACGCTTTGTGCAGCCTTTGCCTGAAATAATCATATCCAAGAGGGTATTCGCGTCCGATGTAGAGGAGTTCTGCAGTATGTGAATTAGTTTCCAATGGGATGAACGAGTATAGTTATTCGAAGGAAGGCATTTTGGTTCAGTGCCGAAATAGCGGAATGGACGAAACACAGGATGCAGAGCGAATACCTTTGTAAATATTGATGACTTGTCGACGGAGCTCTGGATTCGTCATTGTTATTGCATCGACTCAACAAGGAGGGTCAGCGTCAGGATGGGATGGCTGCAAGACGTTGTCGGGATGTTGTTGTTCTGCGGCCGGGAGATGTCGGTGACGTCGTTTGGCGGGCGGCCTGATATTAAGTGTGGATTAGGGACTACCCAGCATACGGCCTCGGCTGGATTTCCTTCAATCAATCCGTTTAACTTTTTATATAGAGTAATAATTGTTAGCAGAAGGCTCGAGCCTCAATGGTATATGGTTTCTTGCTTATTGCCGAGGGATTTTGCTCGAGATGATGCGGAATATATATAGCTGATGCGGTGCGGAGAAGCTTATTATGGAAAGAAGCAATAGGACTGCTCTTCAGATTGAGCGTGCTTAGACCACCTTTAAACTACTATTTCCGATGCTACTCAAGAGTAGTGCTGCTCTACTTCCCTGGATGACAGTCACTAGCCCATTGACCCGGCAACCACATCATGTTAATATCTTCGGTTTCGGCATTTGTGAAGGTGGAGAGTGGGGGGAGCCCGGGGTTAGCCGTCTCCCCCATGCTTCTTCAGTCTCATTGAGTATCAGTGGGAAGTAGACCAGCAACAATCCTAGAATCTCCCCTATCCCTGTTGTACATATTCCAGCTGAACGATGATCGCAATCCATACACTCAAAAGACAGCGCCTCACTGCGATCACGTCTCAAGCCTCAAGTTGCTATCCCCGGTTCTTCTCGATATCGCCCATCTCCCGGGATGCTCGCTCCTCGGCTTCGAAGCAACCCCCATCTAAACCCCACTCCATTGATCCGCGATGGCTTACCATGATCAAAAGACGGATTGGAAAATGCATGATGTTCGGCCTGAAGCCGCCACAGGTCAAGGAAGCAGGAGATATTCTTCAGCGCATTGCGCGGGATTGGCGCGAGCTGGTCGCCGGCAGTGAGGGATATCTGACAGATGAACAGAGGAGAGGTTTATATCGGCAGACGGTAGCTTGGGGAGAAATGGTAGGGCCTATGCAAGCAAGACTCTTGTAACGGAACTATGCTGATGGAGCACGTTCTGCGCTGGCAACAGGATAGCATGGTGAGTGCTGCCCGATTCACCTGTCGTTTATACTGAAATAAACTGACCATTGACCAGGGTATGTGGACTTTGACCCTTTCTATAATTAAAATAGCTGCAGATGTAGCTGAGCTTTGTGACAATGCCACCCAGGACACGTCAATAACGTCACGTACCTCCGATACGCCGAAACCGCACGGGTATACTTCATTCGCAACATCGCCGTACATATAGATCCAGCACACAGGAAAGAATGGATGAATCTGGTCAGCCCAAAAGGAGTTGGCGTCATTGTCCGCAGTCTCAAAATCGACTACAAATTCGTACGGGGACATCCCTCTTTTTGCTCTGATTCTTTGCTGACGAGTGCGCCTGCTGCAGCCCATGACGTACCCCGACAAAGTCACCGTGTACCACAAACTAGTCCACGACCCCTCGGCTCAGCAGTCTCAATTCGCGTTCGACCTTCAGGCTATGATTTTATCCGAAGCGCGTCAGCGACCTGCTGCCCGCGTGCATGAGGATATTGTCGTGTACGATTACAAGCAGAACAAGAAGACTATCCTGCCGCCATTTGTCGAGGCGCAATTTCAGACCATGTGGGATCTCCAAGAGCGAGCCAGGAAACACTGGCAGCAGCAGATCCTTGATATTGAGACGCAAGTCCGCAAATTGGAGGTGGAAAGCTGGGATCGGGAGGATGCTGTCGAGGATATGGGTTCTGCAAGGAAATGAAAGCTTTCGCTCTAAGGTGAGATGGCTCGCTCAAGGTCTTTATTCTTATATGTTTTAGAGTGTGTAGAATTCAGTCCTGAGCTAGGACAGCATAGACAGGCAATGGAGAGTGACAGAAACATGAACTGTCGTCTTCGACGGGACCTTTCGTCCCTGTGTGTTGCCGTGCATTGTCGCGTTTCTCAAAATTATGCATGGGATTTTCCACTGGTGCCCAAGGTTTTAACTAGTAGGAGGTGTGCAATCATGGGATGCTTGTTATCATTGCCATGCAGGCCAAACCAATACGGCGCGGGGTGAGCATTGTTACTAAATGATGTACATGGATCAGCACAAGCTTAACAGATGCAATTCAGAGCGAAAAAGGCAACCCGACGCTTGTGACGCTGCATCGGTTTATGCATTGAGCTCTGCCGTTCAGGCTGTTGCCCTTCGTTGATAAGGCTCGATTTCGACGAGCACTGAGCAAACAACCAAGGGACTTGCAATTGTGTCTACAGTCCCCGTATATATAGGTATAATGGGTACCGAGCCATACAATGTTGTACCAGGGAAGGGTAGGGCGCCATACACAACTGTCGTCTCCGCTGAACCATCATCGTCGTACACCTAGGTCCGTGGATTTGATACTTTACCTAGGTAGATTTACGCACGAACAAAACCTTAGTATCATATGACACTCAATGGACCCGGCGCCGGGGCATTTCCGACAAAATCCCAGAATAAGTTTGGCCCGATTATCCTCTTTAGGGTAAAACCTGTCGATCATTCATTGTTATTCCCAGTTTCTTCCAGTTAATCCAATTAAGACGGGCTTAAGGAAGATTGATTGACAATCAAGAATCAACAGTCATGTAGGCAATATTCTGAGTGCAAAGATCTTCATCTACCTCTCTACTTGTTTGGCTATCATGCACCGAGCCATACTATGACCCTAAATACAAACGGTCAACTCAACCATCGGAGTCAAGAGCTATTGCTCGAATCTGGTGAAAAAATCCTCTGCTGTTCCAATCTTTGACTACCAGATCAGACGTTGTGCCCTTTGTAGCTGTCGAACTGGGAAAGTCGACCCCGCTCAGAAAGCGGAGGATTTGATCGTCGGATGATCGACCTGCTTTGAATGACTTTGAGCACAGCATATCCCTGTGCACGGCGGCAGAAGATAGCTTGACAGAGAAGCGAATATTTGTATGGCCAGTTTTTGCGTCAGTGAGGGGTAACTGGAAAGTAAGCAGTAGGTCATGTACCATGGGCCGTGGCATTGTTGACCTATCAGGCAGCAATCTCGTTGCGATAGATGCTGGACACGTAGTCGGTCTAAGAGCAGTGAAAGATGAGTGAAATAAGGCCGAATCATTCCTGTTCATCTCAGACATAGTGGACGCATGTATATCAGCTAGTCAATATCTTGGCCACACAAGTACCGTAGTGCCAGAGGACTTTGAATCCACTATACAGTATTCTTAAACGATTTGGCATCAATCTGATGGAGCTCGTCTTGGACAGATTCTAGACCCTGAATCTATCTGTTTTGGAGGTTGATTATAGAGGAGTAGATATCACGGGAGGGTTGAAACTTGCAGGAGTTTATCGGATAACCGCCAAGCTAGAAGAAGCTTACCCCGTTACCGTCGTAATCATTCTGAAACAAGCGTTATGCAGTACGGAGTAAAATAGGCAGATCTGTTTATGTCAGATTGACTTGTCATAACGCAGCCACAATACGAACAAATGAGAGCAACTAGAATATGTCAATCTGAATAGTGTCATTTTGCCCCGTATTCATTCCTTCTGCAGGAGTAGGACAGTACATACCAGTAATCGACTCCATCTCTGGTTGAAGATCCCAAAAATAACAAACCTCGGCAGCCAACCGGAATGAAACGCTGCCTGGGTCTGCTCTTCCATCAGCCCAACTGGTCAGGTGATAATGTCATCTATAGGCCGGCCGCCTGGGATCTGCTGTACTGTATTGCGTATTTCCAACCAATACGCGCCAACTGGTCAAGCAGGTGCCATTTAAAAGTCGGTTACTTGTGCCTCAGGCCACAGACCTTTACCCTTCTGGGGCTTAGTAGGCGCGGAAGCCTTACTGCCTTGGGCTGAGGGTCCTTCTCTCTCCCAAACTTCCAGTAGCAAATCTGGCTGAGTGGCTTACATTGGCTCAATCGTCTGCTCTTTTCTTTCTTTTTCTGGTCCGGTTCTGACGATCAGTTCCAACCTTCCTGTGAACTAGACTCCTACTGTAAAAAGGTAGACTAGATTTCCTACGAGGCTACTCTCTCTCTCTCTCTCTCTCTCTCCCTTCCCGCCTCGTTTCGTCTATCCAGGATTCCGAGAAAACCAAACCAAAAAAACCTCCGTTCCTTTTCCCTTTCTCTTTCCTTACCATTCTCTTCAAACCCGCCCCTCCCGCCACGCTATCTCAGCCCTCAGTTTCTCATCCTGTCTTGTCTTGTCTTGTCTTTGTCTTTTCCTTTTTCTCTCTTCATTTACCATTAGTCCTCTCTACCGCCTTTGCGAGACCCCTCTTGTCGTTCCTTTCCATCCCGCTCCCGCACATATTGCCAACCTGATATATCGCCATTCTCCCTTCCTGCTCGCCCCTTCGAAGTCGTCCTTCCTCCATTTTCCTTTTTCCTTCAAAATTGTCTTCGTCTTCAATCACCTGCCTGGTCCAAGTCCTTGGCTCTAATCTGCCAAGCTGACTCGGACCTGGGTGTTAGGCTCCTCTGTCGATGCCACGTTCATCGGCTACGGCTAGGAAGAGTCATAGCAATCGGCATGAGAATGGCAGCGCAAATACAGGGAAAAAGGTGGCTAAACAGAAATCCAATGGACATCTAAACGGTAATCTCAACGGCGGCTCTGCGTCCAGTTCTCTTTCCTCCTCTCAAGTCGATCTGCCATCGTCTCGCTCTTCCAGCGATCCGGTCATCCCCACAACGACCGCAGCATCGACCAAGCTCAACGAAACGCCGGATAGCTCCAAGGGGGATTGCAATGCGCCTGATCATCTGAACGGATACGCCAAGGGCACTGCCGACATGTCGTATGTGCAGAACAATGGTGTCGCCTCGCAGACCGGTGGCGATGTTGCAGGACTGGCCTCGCGTCGTACTGAGAAGTCAGCGACCGGTGCCAAGAGGTCGCCTTCGAATGCCTCAATTAACCCTCTCCAACTCGCGTCGACCATTCTCAAATCGTGCCCCATGTACGACACGATCGCGATCTTGATCTTTCTGCTCCAACTTCCGCCCATGGTTCTCACCCTGGTTCAGTTTTTGTTCGCCTCTTTGACCTTCTTGCCTCCTAGTGGTGCATCGGCCGGTTCCTTGACGTCCAATTTCGACATCTTCCAAGGCCCCGCCGGAACTCCTTCCCTTGGTACAATGATTGCAATGGATGGATTCTGTCTACTCATATGGGGCTTGTTCATGTGGACCTGGGCGCAGAATTTCGCGCTGGACTTGGCCCACGTTCAGGTTGCCATCACGCTAGGTGGAGGAGGATTTGGAAAAAACGGGGGGGTGAACACCCTCTGTGTTGGTATAGTTCTGATAATGCACCTTGTACGGAGCAAAGGTATACAGGATTTTGTTATAGGTCATCTTCTTTCCTCGAACATCATCAGTCCCGATATGTTGTCGCAATATTCGCATCTTTTGCCTACTGAGTTTCGACGCACGGAACCGCAGACGTCGCCGAGCTGGCTTCGGAGTCTACTCGCAGTCCATATACTGGCACAAGCTGGCACCGCCATGGCGAGACGGTCAATGGCGAAGAACAGAACGCCTAATCCTCCTCGTACCGGCAAGCGCATCGACACGGAAGCCTCCGCCGGCTCGCAGACGCAAATCGATTCTGCCTTCGAGTCAGGGGCCAGTGTTTCGTCATATATCGGTGCTGATGGGCAAATTGTCACTCCGACAGCTCACAAGGACGGTAGGGATCGACTACTTTCGGCAAAGAAACGCAGGAGACAGGCAAATCAGGTGCGGAGTCGTCAGCCGTTTTGGGCGGCACTCGCAAGCACTAAGATAACCGTCATGAGAGAATATGAACACTCTAGGACTTTGTCGAAGACAGCTCGCGGTCTTCCCATGACCGAGGATGATCTTCAAGGACTTTCCCTGGACGATGGGCTTGTATGGATTACAGAAATCGACAGTTCAACGATAAAATTTGCGGCTGGTGACTTTTCTTCGGCGGATGATTCGAGCGGTTCGGGAGCCTGCGAAGCTGGATGTCTAGGAAGCGAGGATATGGAACCCTTCTACGTGTGCGTGAATGGAGCCCTTTGGGCCACCGCCACAATATGCAAAGTGCAGGATGCACCGAAAGGATCGAGTATGGTACATTGGCGGGGCGAGATTTCTGGTCTGGCCCCCAATTGTGCTTACACTTGCTCGTTTGTGCGGAGCGATACCGATGAGGAGATATGCGTCATTAGTGTCAAAACTCCTGCGACCAATGATGCGGAACAAGGTAAGAACGACCTCCTGCGGATCTTTCTCACGGTGTCGAGCTTTACTGACTCTTCAAAGCAGCAGTCTCTTCGGTGTCAACTCCACCGCAGCCATCGTATCGTCCTTCGTCCCCAACCACTACGCTGAAGAACTCTATCGTCAACGCTGAAGCCAAGTTGAATGAGAAGCGGTCTCGGCTCAGAAAGGCCAAAAACGATCACAAGCTTGTTATTTCAAAAATCCGGAAAGAGCTTGACAATTACAACCATCGTTTACACAGCGGAACAGATGAAAACAGGCAGAAACAACGCTCCCTGCAACTGGAAAGGAACATTCGGCAAACGGAAGAGGCCACTGCCTTGCTTGAAGACCAGCTTGACAACCTGGAGAATGTCCCCAAGGAAGAACTTCGAGAGTGGTCGGATCAGAAAGCCAAATATGAACACGAGCTGAGTCTGCTAAATTCGGCAAAGGAGCAGCTCGCCTCTGCTCGGTCCGCTGTTGCCCGTGAAGTGTCCTCATTGGAAACTGAGTTGAGCTCTGCGATTCAGAGGCGGGAGCGTCTTCAAAGCCGCCGTACTAGGATCAACGAACAATATGAGAGGATTGTCTCTGCTAATGCGCAAGGGCTCAATGAACGCGAGCGTCGCGCAGCAGAACAATTTGCCCGAGAGCAAGACCAAGCAAAACTCGAAGCAACTTTCAACGAGCAGTTTGCTACTATTGGGCAGTCTGTGCAAGAGTACCAGTTGCGCGCACAACAAATCTGGCAGCAATGTGACGCTATCGAGCAAGCCATCCAGCAGCAACACCAGCAGATGCTCTTGGATCCTGGTCCGTTGACCCCCGAGGGTAATCTGCCCGGGACGAATCCGTTTTCCGAGTCGGCCTTGCCACTCGGCGCATTGACATCGACTGCTCCGAGCAACAGATCACTGCTAGGGCTCAGCTTCCCGCCTTTGAAGTCCAGTCCCCTTCAGACCGCGTCTTCTCCGGTTGGTGCGTCGTCTTCTCACCCCACGAGTCCAGTGCAGCAGCCGTCGTATCTCAACTTTCCAACTTCCCCCCTAGTCAATGCTAGCTCTCACCTCGATTCGGACTTTGTCTATCGTGACCGATCTTTCTCGAACCGTTCTGCCCGGAGCAGCCTCTATGGCTCGGACTTCATGGACTCGAGTCGTCGTCAGCCTTTCCAGCTCGACTTGTCTGAGCTGCTTGCTGACAAGAGAAGCCCGGGATCCGATAGCAATACCGCTCTGAATTCGGGCTTGAGACCTGTTTCCAGCCCTTTCCAACGGGCGGGTAGCCGTGGAAGCGGTAGCGGAAGCAATGGAAGTGGTGGAAGTGGTAGCGGAAGCGGCAGTCCTAGCTCTGTGTACGGTAAAACTAACTAGGGCATGGGTGGATTCAAGAGGCTCTCGCGAAGTCTTCTGTGCGGGTCCCAAGGGTACTCCTGGTTGCGTGTGTTCTGTCTCCAATTTCTGCTTGTGTTATTCTCTCGGTGTGATGTGGTGCTTGATGTCGAGAGGGGGTCCTTGTTCTCTCCGACGTCTAGTGCTCCGCTCAATTTCCGTCGCCTGAGAACAGTCGATCCTGCGTCCTTCATCCTGTGTAGATTTCTTGGATAAAAGAATCAAAAAGCCTACCATTTGCCATCACTTGATCGTTGTAAAGTGTCCAATATCAATATGTCGGTCAATGTTCGCGGTGCCAGCACGCGACCTGCCGTAGGGAATCTGCCTACCGAGAGTCGGCAGTGAGTAGTATGCCAGCGTAGTCTGGTTTACAAAACCGACGCTACAAATCCGTCAACCTGGGAAGGTATGAAAAGATAGATAATCTGTACATTCTTTCCGCGTCTTTTCGATAAGTGCCTTTCCCTCCCCCCCCCCTCGTCCGCACTCTCTTACATAAAAGGGGAACTCTATGTACAAAATGGCCAAAAATGTGTATATGCTGCGCAAATCTTGAATGACACACCGCGCGCTTCTGACGGATTGGATTCACCTGTCAGCCGACGGTAGGAAGCAATTATATGAGTGTGGGCAGTCATGGGTCCCAGTCGAAACCCATACTCTAGGTTTCGAAAGTTATATTTCATGGCCCATTTCCCAGAATTTAGTATTAGCATATGTCAGGCATAAACCCTTTGCAGAGCCGGAAGATACGGACGTCTCCGCCTCTGACTCAGGAAGATGCCGCAAGAGCGCTTGCACCACGGTCCCAACGACGATGGTGTGATCGTAGACCTCCACACGCTGAGGATTGAGCTGGCACTCGAACACAAACGGGAAGTCCTCGACACTCTCCTCCTCGGTGTTTGTCTGGCTGATGGCTCTCCGTCGCAGGATGGGTAGTGGTCTTGTAACGGATCCGTCGGCAGAGACATGCTGCGCGAATTCAAAGTCTCCCTTTCCGCTTAGGAGCGCCAAGTTCTGGTTTCCCCTGGAGAAATCCCGGGCCAGGGCTGCGGTTGCTGGGGTCGGGGCTAGGAGATGGACGAGGAACCGGCCCGAGGACTGTAGGGCGGTTAGGGTCTCTGATGGGCGGCGCACATTGAACGAGATGACGGGCGAGGGATGGAGGGTAACCGTGTTGAAGGAGGAGACGGTCATGCCGCGGAATGCTTTCTCGATGGGGCCCTGCGGATCTGTGGCTGTGATAATGGCGACGGGGTAGGGGACACGGCGCATGAGCAGGCGGACTTGATCGGTCAGTGAAAGCGCGGGGCGGGCTGATGCCGGCTTCTTCGGTTCACTGCCAGCTTGCGAAGCTGGAGCTGAAGTTCCGTTTTGTCTGCGAGGCCATGGTTGCTGAGGTGCTTTGCATCGGACGGGGAAGTTGGACAGTCGGTTACGTAGAGCTTGTATAGATTGTTGCTCTGGTTATATTTGGTCAGATGATGAACAGGTGACATGTGTAAGGAATTAGGCCAAATCTTCCATACCAACTCTGATACTTCTGGCCGACAGTACGGATAGCGAATATGGCAGCTTCATCCCGCCGATGATAGAGCGGACGGAGCTCTGGACGAGTGGAGCTCAGGGCGAATGCAAGAGGGAACGATCAGAGAAAAGACCATAAAGTCTCTTAAAACTCATCCTGAAAGCCCAGCAAATCCTTCGATAGTCTTCAATTGATAGCCATTATCACTTCGGCAGCAGATTATATCCACCCAGAAACCTCCGCGGCCGCGGACGATGAGAAAACGCAGCGTGAGGTTTACTGCTTACATAACCCCAGATCCATGAACGATCCGCGAAATTTCTCGGCCAAACCCATCGACCGATAACCATCGCAACAGTGCTCGTGCTACCCAATTCAACTTAAAACCCAGGAATTTAACTATCCTCACGCTGCATCCCTGATTTCCCCTATCAGCGAACACAAATGTCAATCCACATCCCCCTCCGCCGCAGCGCGGTCAGCACCGCCCGAGTCCAGACATCCACCACCTACATCTGCTCGCAATGTCGACATGCCACACTCCTCCGGCGCCCCAAGCGCCCCTACACCTTCACGCAGCTCATCACCCTCTCCGACGGCAGCACCTTCACACACCGCACCACCTCTCCGACACCCGTCTACCGCTCGACCCGAGACACGCGCAACTCGCTGCTCTGGAACCCGTCGTCCAGCAAGCTGATGAACGTCGAGGAGGATGAAGCCGGTCGACTCGCTGCCTTCAGAGCCAAGTTTGGACGGAGCTGGGATGCGAATACGCCTGCTGAAGGAGAGACGGATACGAAGGCCGCTGCTAAGGGCAAGGAGGCGGCTGATGCCGATGCTGCTGCTGCTGCTGAGGCCGCGCTGGCAGAGGAGGAAGACGATAATTTGCTTGACCTGATTAGTTCGTTCGGACAGGAGATGGAGCAGGAACCTCCGAAGAAGAAGAAATAGGTTGATCCGTTTGGGGCTGAGGGTGCGGTGGATTTGAGTGTATGATACGCAACGGAGGGCGGATGGCTTCAACGCAATCTTCATCTGGGATTTATGGTGCGTTGACTGGAGGAGGCCGCCTTCGATGTTGCACGGAGAGATTCTTCTATTTTATTTCTGGCTCCACGGTTTTTGTTTCCTCGTCGTGTCGGTTTTATGGCCCATATACATGTACTTCATACCATCTGAAGGGATTTCAGCATACTATTGAAATGGACCCTGAACATGTCATTTTTACCAGGGCTTGAAGGAGTGAGATATAGTTTACACGGAAGACAAACCATAGTAATGACCCGACATAAATATTAAAAGAAATCGGGTTCAGAGAAAGCACCAAACACACTACGCTCCGAATGGTATCTGGGCATTGCGTGCTCAGTGCGAGACAGAACAAGAGAGTGCGTTTAAAAGGCTATGGCGGCTCCCCAGCGAAGCGATAAGTAGACCCGGGGCGAACTAGGTCAAAGAATCATCGCAATTCAGTTATACATGGCGAGAAAAGGTCTGGAGCTAGCCCGGGAAGAGCTACGCCGCCTCCTCCGCAGCTACTGGAGCTGTACCGCTGGCTTCCTCTGTCGCCTGTTGCGCAGGAGCATTGGCTGCAACAGGAGGGGACGCAAAGAAGGGGATACCCTCTTCACCAGCATCCAACTGCAAGAGGAACGTCTCCCACAGCTCGATCAACTGTAAGACTATCAGTAACGCCGATCAGAAGCTTGACTAGTTCGGTAAAACTCACCTCCTTTTGCGCCTCCACTGCACTTTCCAGGAAGGTCTCAACGCCAGACTTGAAGTCCTCCACCTTTTCTTTCTCAAATCTCTGCAATTCATTACGCATCAAACGGCCCATGTCATCGAATAATAGCCTAGCCTGGTGCACTTTCCTTTCCGCGTCGGCCACATCGGCGTTGGCCTGATTGAGACGATCCTGCTGCGTCTTTCCTTGTCTGAGCAGCTTCTCCTGGGTATGCTTCCTTTTCTGCAGTTCAGACTCTGCTGCGTGCCAGCTATGGAATGCTTTTTGCCGCTGAGAGAAAGCCGTCTTGACGCTTCCGATGATGCGAAGGTATTCATCGATGGTGATTCCTAGTGTCAGAACATCCTGCTGTGCTTGGCGCTCATAGAGTTCCTTGATGCGCAACTGCAAATCTGAAAGTCCATCCAATGGGCTTGAAAGGGCCGGAGACAGCTCGACAGCGGCCAAGGCATGAAGTGAAGACGAAAAATCGCCAGCCGCTTCTGCCAATCCCTTGCGCTGCGCGACCACGACATCAATTGCCTTCAGCAAAGCTTTGAGTTGATTCTCCAGCGCGTCCATGTATATCTTCCTATCGTGAAACCACTATTCGACTCAAGTTAGCTTAGTGACTTGACTGTATGCAAACCACATGGGACTCACATCATCGTGTTCTACGAACTTTCCACCCCCACCTACGCTAATTCCAAAGGAACTGAACATCCCTTTGTTTTGACCTAGATCCGGTTCCCTGTTCTCCTTGTTCTTGACATCCATATTAAAGGATTCACTTTCCAGGAATATCTTCAGATCCGCATCATGCTGCAGGATAGGATGCGCCGCGATCTTGTTGAGCATGCGCTCAAGTGCAGCCCTTCTAGACTCAACGAAGTTGGTGTCGAAACGGCCAACAGCTTGCTTTTCAGGCGGAGGAGGCACAACAACACCAGGGTTGTTATTGTGCATGGAATTGTAAAGCCATAAGAAATCGCGGTATCTGCGGCTGACGGTAAACTCCGGTTGTCGGTACGCCTTCGATGTTGTCTGTACTGCGTATCAGCGCCTTGCGTCCCATGCATGAATGAAAATGTAGAGAGGGGAAGTTACCTTCGTCCGAACTTGGTACACGATGTGGCTACTTGTCAGATCTCCCACCTTGTGCGGATCACCCACTGTGATTTCGAATGTCGGCTTGGCAGCCTCTTCAATGCTGATACTGGGTTGAGATTGCCTCTTCGTCCCGTCCGCGTCTGCCGGGGGCTGTACAGGGGGCGGTCCCCTGAACCCCGTACCATCCTCTTCCAGATGTACCGAGTCTCCCAACCCACCAGTACTAGATGTTTGTGATGTAGATGACGTCGGACGAGCACCGCGACCTGCAAAAGGCTCCTTCTGGGGTGGTGTCGGTGCTTGCTCGTTGACGGGAGCGAGACTGTCGGTGGGCTTGTCTCCGAGCGGACCCAGCGGATCTACGGTGTCATCCACGGCCTCCAGCTTGGTGGCCTGCGCGCTGATTTTGCGAGCACCTCGGGGGTTTCGTCGAACAGGTGAACGGGTAGCGCTTGGGCTGACGGGTTGTGTTGATCGGTCCGGTGCTACTGAAGCGATGAGCTCATGTCTCAGGATGCCATTAGGAAGTGCGCGGTATGCAATACCGCCCGTGAACATACCAACTTCTTCAGTTTCCGGCCTCTGTGTACCATGACTTGACTGCGAGGG